AATGATAGCAGGGAAAGTTGGACTTGTTTTGACACAAATCATTAGTCTGACAACTGCAGAGCTTATGTTTTATTTAATGATGACTAGACTTGAGAATCGAATGATAACAGTAGAAAGAATTTTGGAATTCATTAAACAAAAACAAGAAAACAAAGATGGTTTAGTAATAGAACATTGGCCAAAGGGATGTGAAATTCGATTCAAAGACGTGTCCCTTTCTTACAAGAGCGACCAAGACCGTGTTTTAAAACATTTAAACTTCGCCATCAAAAATAAAAAAAAGGTTGCCATCGTTGGTAGGACTGGTTCAGGAAAAACATCATTGATTTCTACACTCGTCCGACTTTACGATTTCGAAGGAAACATTTTTATTGACAACGTAGACATCAAAACACTTCCAGTGGATTTCCTCAGGTCAAAAATATCTGTAATTCCACAAGAACCAACTATATTCTCGGGAACATTACGTGAAAATATTGACCCTACAGGACAACATTCAGACGATGATATTTGGAAAGCTATTTCAACCGTGAATTTATCACTCTTTCAAAATTTGGATGAGAAAATTGACATGAATTTAAGCATGTGCGAAAAGCAACTCATTTGTGTGTGTCGAGCTCTCGTTCAGCGAAACAAAATCGTAATTTTTGACGAATGTAATGCTAGTGTCGATTTTGATACTGAAGCTTTGATACAAAGAGTAATATCAGAAATTTTTGCTGAATATACCGTTATCGCAATTATGCACAAATTGCGTTATATTTTAGATTTTGACTTAGTATTAGTTATAGATAAGGGTGTGATTATTGAGTCTGGTGATCCCGCTAGCTTGATGAAGAAAAAAAATGGGATGCTTAGCAATTTGTTTAAGAGACAATGAAATAATAAAATTATAAAACCATAGAAAGTGGAGCACTCAGTGCCCTCATCATTTGAACTTATTAATGTAAATGTAGGAAAGGATGTATTCAAATGTTTTAGATAAATCAAGTTTTCTGTGTCTACTTTATGTCAGAATTACCACATAGTACTTAACATAATAATATAAATAAACATTCTGAAAGATAAATTTTAAGCATCAATTACCTAAGACTTGTGAGCTGCTTATCATTTTGTCATTTGTCATTTATGACATAATGTGATGTTTACTAATTACGGTTGCTAATTTAAAAAGATTAATAAATTGATTAAAGTTGCTTATGATGTGCATAATGTGTTGCCTACACAAAAGTATTCAGGCGTTCAACAGAAAAAATAATCACCTTGTATTCTTTGTAATAATCTTCAAAAAATCAAGTAGCTAAATTTCACTGTTGACGGTACCCTTATGCTCGTTCTTTTAGTGATATGGTAGAAAACGTTAGGTTATCCATTACACAATCTCTTGTTGATTTCATCGACACAGTAGACGTTCAAGATTTATTTTCTCGATTCGGACAAGATTTTTGTTTTAGATTATGGTTGTGCTGTGAAGTTTGGTACCCCAAACGAACTACAAAATAATAATAATATTAATAATAATATTATTAATAATGAATTTATTGATCCAAAAAACCAAGGTTCATAGTGGATACAAGAGTATTACAAACATATCAAAAGTAATTTCTGCTTGATTTTAAAAAAATCACGATAGAACAAATCCAATTGATCACACTTATGTTGGCGTACTAGTGTGTTATACAAGATGAAACAAGACAAGAGCGGGCTGTTGGCATGGTGGATCGAGTTTGGTAAATTATAATAAAACGTAACAATATTTCTAGTTCCTACTCGTGGGACATGAAATTTTACTAATGATTAAAGAAACAAGCTTTTAATGGCGACCATTAATTATGTTTTGTAAAAATATCTATCGAGCAGTCGACGTCTCATGTAGAAGTACCAACAATTCGTTTTGGTCACAGTGTCGTATCGGATATAAACCATAAATTTCCGTAAAACTTGTTCGAAAAGTAATATATAAGTATTCTGCTACGGACTCCACAGAACAGAACAATATTCAAATCTAGACCGAACAAGCGAGTAGAAAAGTAGTTTAATACTAACAGGATTTGTAAAGTCTGTTGCGTTTCGAATTATAAACCGTATGTTTACTGCTCGTTTCGTGACACTTTCGATGTGAGTTTTGAAAGACATAGTTGAATTTATTATAACTCTTAGATCGCAAAATTCATCTTACCATTCACATTGTAATAAGAAAAAATGCATTGATTTTAAAAATTCCCTTAATTGCTCTTTTATTCGACCCCATTTCTAAACACAAACATTAAACATTTTACTCAGTAATTGTTTTCCAAACCAAAACGATTAAAAGTATATTTTTCAATAGATTCACTGGCAACAAATAAGATTCAAATTTTAGTTGGCAGTTGAAAACAATTTTGAAGTGCTGGAAAAATGGAGTAACTGACGACGACTTCATAACACCGACAAGAGATCATGAGACACAACTATCGGGAAACAGACTGGAAGCACTATGGAATAAGGAAAATATTTCAAGGAAAAACCTTCTTTTACCAGAATATTGGCACAATTTTATTCATCAAATATGTACTTTGTGGATTTTTATTTTGTATAGAAGATACACTATCAATGGAAGAACAAAGTCATACTGATAAATTTTAAAAACCTAGTGACGTAGACATGACCTTATATTTAAACATTCCTTCATATTTCATTAAATTTCAATGTTACGAAAACTAACACTTAACGACTTTAGTACAAATATGGATCATAATAATAATTCATCATAAAGATTTTCCATTTCGCAGACTAACATACTATTAAAACTATACGATGGGAAGCCGAAAAATCAACAAGATACTTTTCTTCAGGGGTTAATCACAATGAGACCAATCCAGAGACGTCGACCACGCACAGAAACAAATAATAATAAACCGAAATCAGCCACGTTTCCTTATTTTTCTTTGAAAAACGGTAATCGTGTCTTTGTATGTAAAAAAACCTTTATGAACTTATACGGACTTTCACATTTTCAAGTTCAACGTTTAACTACCCTTCTTGTTCATGATAAGATACCAATAGATCACAGAGGTAAAGATAATAATAACTCACGCACTTCTAGCTGTAAAAATTTGGTTCAAATCAGAGAGCATTTACATTCTTTTCCCATAAAAACATCTCATTATGCTTCACAGACCAAGCACTATTTACCAGCTACTTTAAATGTTAAAACTATGCATAGTTTATTTATTCAAAAGCATCCCGAATTGTCCAAAATTATTAAGTATGAATACTTCCCAAATTATTTTAATAAAGAATTTTCATTGAGTTTTGGAAGACCTTCAGTAGATTCATGCAGTGAATGTGAAAGATTAGAACAAAAACTAACAGACAGAACATTGAATGATAGAATGCGACAATCAATACAAGAAGAATTGCTGAGCCATAAAGAAGAAAGTAAAAATTTCTACAAAAAAATTAAAGATACACAAAAAGAATCTAAAGAAAATTCAGAAGTGCTTGGAATTTATTTTGATTTTATGCAAAATTTGCAGCTTCCTCATATTCCAGTCCAAAAAATGTTTTACTTTCGACTTGGAAACAAGCATGGAAACTTGTTACATGTATCATGAAGGGCAGACACACAAAGGTCCAGATGAGGTCTGCACATTTCTGTATGATTATATCAATCATCACATTCCGGCAGATGTATAAGAATCATGTCCGAGACAAAATAAAAATCATACCATAATTCCATTTTTATGAGCTTTACAAGAAAGAAAACGATTCAAAAAAATTATCCACTATTTTCCTGTACGCGGTCATTCGTTTTTGCCACGTGATAGGGATTTTGGTCACATTAAACGTTATACATATAAAAAAACATGATCGTATTTATCTCCCAGAATAACACCAGACAATGGTCAGTGAATGTAGGAAAAACGCTAGCCCGTTTGAAGTAAAACAATGCAATATTCTGACTTACCGGATTTTAAAAATTGGTGGCCTGCTATTTTTAGAAAGAGTAGTAAGTCAGTATCTCTTGAAAATAAAGATACTTACACTATATCATCGTACCGCCAATTTGTCTATGATAGTTCGACTTCTGGATATGTAACCACATTCGGATCTACTGATGGAGGGGTTTGTCGCAGTTTTTATTTAAAAAAACCAATCGTAGAGAAATTTCATTTTTACCAACGATGTCAGCATACACGGGAATAGTGCCAATCAAAGAAAAAAAAACTAAAGATTTAAGCTAAGTAACGAGATATGTGCCTGTTGAAAAAATGAAATTTTATGAAAAAATTATCAATTGGAAGAGTACAGCAGAAGAAGATCATGACTGATTTCACTTTTTTCTTAATTTTCAAATGTACATATTTCAATTAATTAAATACTTATTTCTCACGTCGTGTTCAAATCATTTTGCCAAGTCATTGCGTCAAAAAACAGTACAAGCCCATTGTTTTATTTTTAATTTTTTTATATTAAAGTTAAACCTATGTGAATTTTTAAGGGTTAAATATCTCTGGAAAATGATAATACATAATTTTACTACATTCAACAGTTTTTATAAACAGGCATTATTGGAAAAAACAGACGTTATTCGTTAGAACGTGTTTTCTCAAAATGAAATATTGAGACATGTACAGTTTTGAAACTCATCGATTCAAGTCAGATAAAGAGAAAACTAAGTGTGGCAAAAAATTATTAATGATTGAAACTGAATACATTTTGAAAGTAATGACCACCAGTGATTAAAGTAATTAAAGGCCAGCAAATGATGTAAATTTATTGTACAATTATGAGGGCGGACAATTTAACTCATTCAAGAAAATAATAAACTCCAAAATATGTTACATAATGTCGTCCGTATGGAAAATTTTGACCTCCTGGATACCGACTGGTAAACAGTTCTTATCAAATTTTGTCATTTATTTTCCACACACTAGAATAATTAGACCGTACGTTTATCGTTAAAGCGTTTTTGTTCAACTATTTATATCATTATTGCATTCCTTTACTACAAAAACTTTTGTAACAGGTTGAAGCGGTATAGCCCATACGAGTTTTTATTTAAGTACCATTCACACAATCATGAATATTACTGTTAAACAACATTTCTTTTGAAGCGGTACTAACTAGTGAAGATAATTTATACAAAACACTAATGGACTACTACAACGCAAACAAACAATCCACTAATCCGGAGAAAAACAGTAACTGGTTTTCGAGATTATTCTTTGTGTTAGTAAAAATCAACTCGATAAAAAGGTTAGACAATTAGAGTACATTTAAATTTTAGATACACTAAGGATATTTTCATCAAGGGTTACAGAACAGACCTGACTCAAAATGATATATATGAAGTACTTCCACAGCATAAGTCAGAAACATTAGGAGATAAATTGGAAAATGAGTGGAATATACAAATTGATGAAAAGAAGACATCTATACCTAGACTTCTTTGGAAATGTTTTGGCAGACAATATATATTAATATTAATCAGTTTGGTCATTCCAGTGACACTGACGTATTTACTACAACGTATTGAGAATTTCACCTCTGTTTTAATAATTTGTTTAGGCTGACGCAACCAAAGATACTAAAAGAATTCATTTCATATTTTACACCAGGACACAATAACCTAAGTAGAACTGATGCGAGCTTGTATGGAGTATTGTTGATTATAGTGATGGTTACCAGACGTGTCTACCAATTCAACTTTCATCTAAGGCTTGCAGAATTTGGTATTAAACTGCGTACTGGATTCACATCTTTAATCTACAGGCAAGTTTTGAAAATTAACCCAACACTGGTTGAAAGTGGCAAGATGATAAACCTGATAACGAGAGATGTGAGTGAATTTGAAGAAGCCATATATGAAATAACCAACATAATAAGAGAGCTATCTAACGTTTTGGCAACATGTTATGTCCTCTATTCAGAAATTGGATGGTTATTTCTCATACTCCCAACAATAATTTTTATTAGCTTGTTCGTCAATAGTAAGCAGGCAAAAACTAAAATAATCATTTAGTCTTTAAATTATTTTCAGCATGTATAGCAGTTTTAGTGCGTAAATTTAAATTGAAGTCTTTGAGGAAAACTGATGGAAGATATCAAATAATAAAAGAAGCATTAAGTGCAATAAAAGTCATCAAAATGAACCTTTGGGAAGAAAGTTATGAAAAGAAAATTGCTAAAATCAGGCAGTAAGGACGTAAACAAATGACTAATTGCGTGTGTGTTTTTTTTTTTTTTCTTTATTTATAGAGAAGAAGTTCATTTTATACGCAACGTAAATATACTGCTTTTTCTAAAGTTAGTCATTTCTGAATCAATTCATAATGCGTCGTGGTACATAATTGTGGCAGTATCCATATTGTTTAAGATCAACTCAAACGCCGGGACATTACTTCTTATAATGAACAGTCTAACTTTTATTTCTCATGGCATAACAACGAATTTTCCAACAGCGATACATGAAATGGCTACATTGATTGCTGTATTTAAACGAATTGGACAAACACTCCGAATTAAGAGTGAAGAATCGTACGTGGAAGAAAATAACCCTTCACCAAGAATTAAAATGAATTTAAAAATTCACACTGGACATAGCCATACACTAATAACTTTAAAAAACTGCAATATTGTTAGAGGAATAACATCAGTAACTGGACCTATTGGGAGTGGTAAAAGTCTTCTATTAAAAGTCCTCATCAAAGAATACAAAAATGTTGAAGGCAATCTAGAAGTCGTCGGCAGCATTTCTTACGCATCACAAGAACCCTGGCTATTTCCATCAACCATCAAACACAACATTTTATTTGGAAGTAGTTACGACGAAAATCGTTACTTAGAAGTTTTACGAGTTTGTGCTCTACTGGATGAATTGCGGCTTTTAACCGATGGTGATTCGTCTATTGTAACTGACGGAGGAGCTAACCTAAGTAAAGGACAAAAAGCTAGAATAAATTTAGCACGAGCTGTTTATAAAGAACGTGATATATATTTATTAGATGACTGTCTGGCTAGTTTGGATGCGATTGTAGCAGATTTTGTATTTGAACAATGCATCAAAAGATTTCTGACACACAAAATTGTGATCTTGGCTACGTCATCCATTAAATACGTCAATAGGTCAGATAACGTCATAACAATGAAAACTGGTACAATGGAAAATTCACACCCTATCAAAAGTGAAATCCCAAAAAATGCGGACACAAAAAGTATAAAATATATTGCAAGAGATAAATCAAAGAGCGAAAAAGATGAGTCATCTGCGGAAGAAAACTTTAGCCATGACACCCCATTGATTAAAAAGACCAAAGAGACCAGAAAACTCTACACAGAAACAAAAGTACAAGGAAAAGTACGCTTCAATGTTTATAAAAAATATATTGAAGTAAATGGAGGCTTGGTCAAAATTGTTTTAGTCTTACTTATCACTGGAGTAACTCAGTTTTTGAAAAGTTCCATCAACAAAATGGAATCCGTTTGGTAAGACTAAAACTTGATAATTTCCTCTCATTGATATTTACTTCTAGGATAAATGCAGAACAAATTTTGTTTAGCAATGCCACAGACAAGAAAATTTATACTGAGGCTAATCAAAAACGTCACCAAATGTTAATTGTTCTACCGATAATTATTTCAACTACGACCATATTGATGTTATTAAATACATATTTTTTCTGGGTGCTTGCTGCCAAAGCTTCTCAAAAGCTTCACAGTTTACTTTTCTCTAATGTGGTTCGTAATTTCATGCAATTCTTCGACAAAAATCGAATAGGAATTATTTTGAATAGATTTTCAGAAGATATACTGTACATTGATGAAATAGTACCCTCGACGTTTCTTCAACTAATTGGTGTAAATAGGTTAATTTTATAAACTGGCTTATAATATTCCTGAATTTTAGTATTTTGTCGGAATAGTTGGAGTTATTATCCTCATAGCTACAGTTAATGCAACGTTCCTAATTCCATGCATTCTGATTAATATATTCCTGGTTTTCGTACTAATGTTTTACTTAAAAATTGGGAATGCTTTGAAGCGAATCGAATTCTTAAGTAAGCGTAATTATAAAATTTTTTAAAATGATAATTTTGATTATGTTAGCACGAAGTCCTGTAATGGGGTATATCAATGCAACTTTAGACGGACTGACAACCATTAGGACCTCAAGAATGGAAAACACACTTCGAAAAGAATTTGACCGACATCAAGATTTGTATGCTTCCTCTTCTTACATGTACGCATGCTGTGAGAAAGCATTTCTTCTTTTGATAGGAGCCGACCAAATTATTCTCCTTGTTTTCGCAATTATCCTTTTTTTAGCACTAGATGAGAGTAAATTGAAATCTTGAAAAGTAAGTAATATTAATTAACAATATTCTTTAGAAACGACAGCAGGGAAAGTTGGACTTGTTTTGACACAAATCTTTGGTCTGACAACTGCGCAGCTTCTCTTTTATTTAATGATGACTAGACTTGAGAATCGAATGATAGCAGTAGAAAGAGTTTTGGAATTCATTAAACAAAAGCAGGAAAACAAAGATGGTTTTGTAATAAAACATTGGCCAAAGGAATGTGAAATACGATTCAAAGACGTGTCCCTTTCTTACCAGAGCGACCAAGACCATGTTTTAAAACATTTAAACTTCGCCATCAAAAATAAAAAAAAGGTTGCCATCGTTGGTAGGACTGGTTCAGGAAAAACATCATTGATTTCTACACTCGTCCGACTTTACGATTTCGAAGGAAACATTTTTATAGACAACGTAGACATCAAAACACTTCCAGTGGATTTCCTCAGGTCAAAAATATCTGTAATTCCACAAGAACCGACTATATTTTCGGGAACGTTACGTGAAAATATTGATCCTACAGGACAACATTCAGACGATGATATCTGGAGAGCTATTTCAACCGTGAATTTATCACTCTTTCAAAATTTGGATGAGAAAATTGACATGAATTTAAGCATTTGTGAAAAGCAACTCATTTGTGTGTGTCGAGCTCTCGTTCAGCGAAACAAAATCGTAATTTTTGACGAATGTAATGCTAGTGTCGATTTTGATACTGAAGCTTTGATACAAAGAGTAATATCAGAAATTTTTGCTGAATGTACCATCATCGCAATTATGCACAAATTGCGTTATATTTTAGATTTTGACTTAGTATTAGTTGTAGATAAGGGTGTGATTATTGAATCTGGTGATCCCGCTAGCTTGCTGAAGAAAAAAAATGGGATGCTTAGTAACTTGTTTAAGAGACAATGAAATAATAAAATTATAAAACCAAAGAAAGTGCCGCATTCAGTGGTCTCATCATTTGAACTTATTAATGTAAATGTGGGAGAGGATTAGTACCCTAAATATATTCAAATGTGTTAAAAAAATCAAGTTTTCTATGTCTACTTTATGTCATAATTACGACATAGTGCTTAGCATAATAACATAAATAAACATTCTGAAAAAACGTCAATTACCTAAAACTTATGAGCTGCTTATCGTTTTGTCATTTGTCATTTATGACATAATGTGATGTTTGTGGTGTTGCATTTACTAACTACGGTTGGTAATTTAAAATGATTAATAAACTGATCAAAGTTGCTTATGATGTGTACAATGTGGTGCCTACACAAAAGTATTCAGGTGTTGAACAGATAAAATAATCACCCTGTATTCTTTGTAATAATCTTCAAAAAAAGCAAGTAGTTAAATTTCACTGTTGACGGTACCCTTATGCTCGCCCTTTTGATGTTATGGTAGAAAACATTAGCTTATCTACTACACAATCGCTCTTATTGATTTCGTCGATATAGTAGATGTTCAAGATTTATTTTCTCAATTCGGACAAGATTTTGGTTTCAGATTATGGTTGTGCTGTGAAGTTTGGTACCCCAAATGAACTACAAAATAATAATAATAATAATGAATTTATTGATCCAAAACATACCATTAATTTTAACAAAATCACGATAGAACAAATCCAATTCATCACAGTTATGTTGGCGTAGTAGTGTGTTATACAAGGTGAAAGGAGACAAGAGCGGGCTATTGGCATGGTGGATCGAGATTGGTAAATTATATATAAAACGTAACAATATTTCTAGTTCCTACTCGTGGGACATAAAATTTTTACCAATTATAAAAGAAGCAAGCTTTTAATGCGACCATTAATTATGTTTTGTAAAAATATCAATCGAGCCGTTTGTCTCCTAACTTCAGGCGGCATCTCATGTAGAAGTACCAACAATTCGTTTTGGTCACAGTGTCTTACCGGGTGTACACCACACATTCTAAAATGCAGAAGTCTACAAAATTTCCGTAAAACTTGTTCTAAGAGTAATATTTAAGTCTAGACGTAAGAAGCGAGTAGAAAAGTAGTTTACTACTAACAGAATTTGTAAAGTCTGTTGCGTTTCGAATTATAAACCCTATTTTTGTTGCTCGTTTCATGACAGTTTCGACGTGAGTTTTGAAAGACATAGCTGAATTCATTACAACTCCTAGGTCGCAAAATTCATTGCAGCGTTTCAGTATCTTACCATTCATAGTATAATAAGAAAATTGCATTGATTTTTTCCTATATGAAAACCCTTCGTCAAAAGTGGAGGTGCATTAACGCAAATCATCTGAGTGCGAGTGTAATACAATAATTTTTCGGCTATTCTAAAAAAAATTTACTTTTTCTAATAAATATAATTTGGCTTAATCCCCTCTGTTTTTGTTTGTTAACCATCTGATTCTGTGATATGTGTATCTCGGAAAATTTTCGTTTTCTGACCAAAATGACCGAAATTATTAAACGCCCTAACGCTCAAATCATCCTTCTTACGATAATTTTTTGCCGTTGTCATCGCCGGTGTGATTGCAAAAAGAGCGGCGAGGGCGTTTTCATTCATAGATGTGCACAATTGCATTCGAACGCCAATCAAGGTCACACGGTTACATAACGACAAGTGGTCGAGATCCTCGACGTATGCAACGGGTGGGTACTTGACACCAATGTATAGGTGTTTATTGCCCCTGACAAACAAGCGATTGCAACTCGACTCATTTCAATAGAGTCGGCCAACTAATGTAACGAAACCGTATGCGCTGTTCATGTGAACACATGTGCTGGTAAGCACTGTTCTTAAACCGACGACAGTTTTCTTTAATAACAATTATAACTCCCATTCTTACGATAACTTCTTTGAAGTTTTATGAAAAAAATTAGCAATCAACTCGAAAAATAAAACTTGGACAACGTGAGTAATTTTCAATTCTAAATATACAAAGGATACACAAACTGCGTTACGTTTTGGACTTCGACCTTTTCTTAGTTGTAGATAAAGGTTTGCTAATTCAGTCTGGTGATCCGACTACCCTGCTGAAGAAACAAAATGGGATGCTTAGTAACTTGTTTAAGAGACAATGAAAAAATAAAATTATAAAACCAAAGACAGTGAATCGTATGAACATATTACGGTAAATTTGGTCGACGATTAGTACCATAAATTTATTAAGATATCTTAAATGAATCATTTTTTCCGTGTCTTCTTTTTGTCATATCTACCACGTAGTCCTTAAAAAAATAATAGAAATAAACTGATAGGTACGGTAATAACGTGGTTCCCCAAACATTACTTTCAAAAGGAGCAGAAGTTGAGCTACCGTGAACATTAGAGACAATGGCAACAAATATGCATTAGATTACATATCAAAGATATCTAAACGTAAATTGAACATTGTGAATCGACAGAAACGATGCAGATGAACACGACGACGACTCTGTAAAATAGAAAAAATCGTGTAGATAGACATATCTATAAAAAAAATTATGGCGTATGTGACCATAAATTTCAGCTTAGGAAGTTATGTTTCACGTACGTATATAAAAGTGACAGAAAGTTAACACACTGATAATATTATTAATAGTAAATGAATGTAAATAACTTAAACATGAATCACGTTAACTCCAACGCCCTTCGTATAGTTTAAAAGCTGCCAGGTAATTAAAACAACAAGATACATACAAAAAGCTTTATTGCAAATGTAACCACTGTATATAGCGGCTACCTTTATTCATTAGAGTCACCTAAAAATTTCCTTAATTGCTGTTTTATTCAACTTCATTTCTAAGCACATAAACATGAAAACATTTTACTCAGTCATAGTTTTCCAAACCGAAACGATTAAAAGTATATTTTTCAATGGATTCACTGAGAACAAAAAAGATTATAATTGATAACACACCGAAAAATGTTCATCCCAAGGAAGAGGCAAATTTCTTGTCTCAATTTTTGTTCTGGTATAGATTTTCCACCGGTTTCTCTACATTATATATTCAAATTTTAGTTGGCAGCTGAAAACAATTTTGAAGTGTTGGAAAAATGGAGTAACTGACGACGATTTCATAACACCGACAAGAGATCATGAGACACAACTATTGGGAGACAGACTGGAAGCACTATGGAATAAAGAAAATATTTCAAGAAAAAAACCTTCTCTTACCAGAACATTGGCACAATTTTTAGGTATCAAATATGTGCTTTGTGGATTACTTTTTTGTATAGCTGATACACTATCAATGTAAGAACAAAATCAAAACTATTTTTTGTTTTTTCTTACACTGAAAATGTCTACAATTGTAGGTTCCTTCAATCGCTATTTCTAGGTAAACTATTGGAATATTTTTCAAAAAACAAAAAACTCACGGCAAGTGAAGCATATATTTATGGACTAGCCGTCGTTTTATCTATTTTACTTCGAGTGCTGAGTTTCCAGTTCCATTATTTGGAAACTTACAGCACTGGTTTGAAAGTTCGTACATCTTGTTCCTCTTTAATTTATAGAAAGATTGTAAACATGAAATTAGCTACTATACAAAAAAATACTTTAGCACATATATTAAACTTGTTTTCTACCGACGTTGACAAATTTGAAACAGTTTTTTGTTTTATTCACCGTATGTGGAACGGTATTTTGAAACTCGTAGTAGCAACATTCCTATTTCTTTCATTGTCTAGTTATCAAGGAGTAGTAGGAGTAGGAATAATGGTAATTTTTTCACTTTCTCAATGTTAGTATACTTTTTTATCATTCTTTCGTACGTAACGCACCGATATTTCAGATTTTTTTTTCACGAGAGCTGCGCTTCGAAGACACAAAATGACTAGAGAAAGAGACAACCGGATCCGTATAATGAACGATATTATTTTTAGAATGAGAGAAATTAAAACGTATGCCTGGGAGACGCCTTTCGCTGAACTCATAAATAATATTAGAAGGTTTTAATTTTTAAAATGAAGTCACTATTATTAACCTGTTAAATTTTAGATGTGAACTTAACCATATGAGAAAATTGAATCACATCTTAAACGAAAACTTTACGATTGCGACGTACATTCACAAAATATCTGTCTACGTGTTTGTTTTACTTTTAACAACGACTGGTACTCCTTTAGATCCACACTTGATGTTTATGTCTATAAACATTTACAATTTACTTAAAACGTCGGTGCAACATTCAATTTTTGCTGTTAATTTAATGTCAGAAGTGAAAGTGTGTATAACCCGTATCGAATTATTTTTGCTATTGGATCATGAAGCAACTGTTGACAAGCAAAAAATAGAAGATATGCGGGGTTGTAAAATATATGTTCAAAATTTGACAGCTACATGGAACCCATCGCAAAAGGCGACGATAAAAAACGTTGATTTTAAACTTGGTTGTGGTCAGCTAGTTGCAGTTACCGGAGACACAGGGAGTGGAAAGTCCTCTTTACTCCAAACTATACTACAAGAACTACTTATAGTCGACGGAATTCTGTCTCTGAATGGTTTGATATCTTATGCATCACAAAATCCATGGGTGTTCTCGGCAACCATCCAAGAAAACATTATATTTAATGAAACCTTTAACCAGACCAAGTATTTAACTGTTCTTAAAATTTGCGCTTTAGAATATGACATATCTCTATTTTCTCATGGAGACAAAACATTGGTGGGAGAAAGAGGAGCAATGTTAAGTGGTGGCCAAAAAGCCAGAATTAACTTGGCACGAGCTATATACAAAGATGCAGACATCTATCTTTTAGATAATCCACTAGCGGCGATGGATGTATCTGTCTCTCAACATATTTTTACTCAATGTATTTTGAAACATCTAAAAACCAAGAGTGTTGTACTAATAACACACAATTGCAAATTTCTCAACTATTCCGACAGAGTGTATGTTCTAGAACTTGGGACGGTAAAATTTTCTGGAAAATATGAAACATCAGAAGAGGCAGCAAATAACATACAAGAAAACAATGATAAAACAGTGACAACACTTTCTGAAAAAAATTATAAAGCCCAAATAGAAACTAAAGAACACAGAGGTAGTGATAAAGTCAAGACATATAAAACATATTTATTTGCCAATGAAAGCAAGTTCTTCGTTTATCTTCAGTTTTTCCTTTTCATTGTAACTCAAGTTTTTATAAACGGTTCAGACGCATTTCTGTCTTTCTGGATAAACCTGAGGCAAAATCCTACTAGTTTTAGCGTTTCACTACTACAGTACTTTTCCGACGGCAAATGTTTGTACATTTACAGTGGATTTATTCTAATAATGGTATTTTTGTTTCACATGGGTTCTTTCAATTTTGTAGAATGCTGTAATAAGTGCTCCGTTAAGTTACACGATACGCTATTCAACAAAATATTGTATGGAACTATGAAGTTTTTCGACAATCATCCATCTGGTCGAATTTTAAATAGAATTTCTAGTGATATGAGTGCAATCGATGAGACCATCCCCAAAAATGTGTATCAAATTACAAGACAAATTTGTTCTGTGTTAGGTATTTATGTCGTTGTCAATGCAGTAAATTATTACATGATTCTACCAACACTAGCTTTGTTGGTAATTTTTTATTACTACGTGCAGGCTTTCCGGCCAGTGCTTAACAAATTGAAGAGAATCGCTGCCACACGTAAACCTATATAGCAAAGATACAGGACTACTTTTTCCACTGATTTCATTTTTTTAGGTAAAAGTCCTATTTATACTCACGTGGTTGCCACCATTGACGGACTGACAACCATCAAAGTTGCAGAAGCCCAAAAACACTCTTTGTCAAAATTTCAACGCCTTCAAGATTCTTATAATTCCATTAGATATCTCTATCATGCTTTGCACGCTTCTTATGCATTTTGGACAGATTTCACTTGCATGTTGTATATAGCCGTTGTTATTTTCTTTCTAATAATCTTCAAAAGAAGCAAGTAATTAAGTGTCTATGTCGACGATACCCTTATGCTCGTTTTTTAGGTGATATGGTTGGAAACGTTGGTTTATCCATCACAGAATCGCTCTTAATGATTTCATCGATACAGTACATGATAAAAATATATGGTGAGCTTGATTCACACATGACTGCAATTGAAAGAGTTGCAGAATACGATGACCTAACAGTTGAAGATAATAATAAAAGTGAAATTAATCCTTCTGCCGCATGGCCTGTAGAAGGCAAAATACTATTTCAATCGGTGTCCATGCGATATTCTCCGGAAAAACCGTTTGTTCTCAGAAACATCGATGTGGAATTTCAAGCTGGTGAAAAAATAGGAATCGTTGGCAGAACTGGCGCCGGAAAATCATCCTTAATAAATGCGCTCTTTCACTTATATGAATTCGAGGGAACAATATTTATAGACGACGTCGACATAAAAATGGTTCCTCTTAGCACTCTGAGATCTCGAATAGCGACTGTTCCTCAAGATCCTGTTCTTTTCTCAGGTACCATACGCGAGAACTTAGATCCTTTCAAAGAATTCACGGACTGCGAGTTATGGAGTGCTTTAGAAGAAGTGAATCTGAAACAAGTTGTTTCAAATTTACCCTCTGGTTTGAATAGTTCTATTTCGGAAGGCGGGATCAATTTTAGTACGGGACAGAAACAACTAATGTGTTTAGTTAGAGCTATATTGAAAAAATGTACAATTATTGTTTTCGACGAAGCAACTGCCTTTCTTGATTTAGACACAGAGAAGTTGATTCATGCTACAATTCACAAGAGATTTCACAAGGCAACGATTTTAAGAATTGCACATAGACTGGACAGTGTTATGAATTCGGACAAGATATTGGTTTTAGATGATGGTTGTGCTGTGGAATTTGACACCCCGAATGAACTTCTACAAAACGTTAATAGTCATTTTTACAGATACGTCCATGAATATCAAAATTCTTCGTTAAATATACACATTCATTAATGAAACTTATTTTAAAAAATATTTCTAAACCATGTTGTTCTTTTCATGTTAAGTTGAAATAACGCAACTTTTTTTGTAAAGTAATGTTTGTATATATTTCTTATATTACTAAAACTATGTTAATAAAAAGTATTTAACAACACTTTCGCTTATTCTTCTTCGATTTTCCATTGTCAATCATTTGATTTTGTGGTATATTTTTGGGTTTGCAGACATTACAGTACTCTAAATATTTCTATAACTCTCTGGCAAGAGGATCATTGGGCATTTTAATTCATTCGAGAAAATAATAAACGCCAAAATTTGTTGCATAATGTATGTCGCATAGAAAATTTTCACCCCATGGATATCCAATTGCACAGTTCTTATCAAAATTTACGCCATATTTTACAAACATTAGGATAATTTGACCGTACACTAATCGTTAAAACTGATTTAACCGACTATTTATTTTTTGTTATTACCATTATTTTACTATAATATTACAGTCAATTGCTTCAGCCTATCACTTGATGAAAATACTCTATACATATTATTCACATTTTAATCGAGCAAAATAACATTACTTGAAGATAAGTAGCAGAGTTAACCAATATATTTTCCAAATCGATAGTAACTATTGAAAGTATTATCTGTAAAGCGTAAATGGACTACTACAAACCAAACAAAAAATTAATTAATCCGGAGAAAAATAAACACTGGTTTTTGAATTTATTTTTTTTGTAAGTTAACTATCAACTCGAAAAATAAAAACTTGAACTATTAAGAAACAGACTGGAATCACTATGGAATAAAGAAAATATTTCAAAAAAAAAAACGTATTTTACTAGAGCATTGGCACAATTTTTATGTATCAAATGTATGCTTTTTGGAACACTTTTTTATAGCCGATACACTATCAGTTAAGCAATGACGTAAAACATGACCCTATGTTTAAACATGACACCTTCATATGTAATTCACACAACTAAAAATACACTTTCAGAAAAACTATCACAAAAACTAAAATTTAACGATTACACTACAGAATCATAATAAGAATTTTTCATTACACAATTCGACGTAGTGCTTTATTGAAAGCTTAAAACGAAAAATCGAAGCGCAAAGCATCTCTAAAAATAGTTTTGAAAAATAGGCTATTATTCACCAACATTAATTTGATTCTAAATAACCATGTCGACATACTTGGTTCTAAACAATTAATGAACGGTGCAGATGCATATTAGCACCAGAAACATTAGATGACGTGAGTATTATAAAAAAAAAACTGTTATCTATTATAATGATATTGTTACAAGTTTTTTCAATTTCTTGCCGTAGTTTCTCATCATAATTATTTAAGGAATTAACCACAAAACGCACTAAATTTTTTAACCCTCATAGTAAGGTAGTAGTAAGGCTAGTAACTATTGTGATATGCAATTATCCATTACTTCGCTGCAAACTGTTCTCCAGGATGCCTATTTTAGGCTATAAATCACGTTCCAAAATAAGGGTGTTCATTTTATCTCTTCACGCCTGACAATTTTTGCAGAGTATACAGCCTAGAGATGACTTAGTCCAATCTAATTTTTTTAATAAGCAATCATAGCAATCACAAAAAAAAAATGACAAAGATGTCAATGCCAAATAATAGGAAAATTGAAAAAATTAATTCTCAATTTATTAATGGATCAGATTACAACGAAACGATGTCCAAGGGTGGCGGAAAAAGGAAAAGGAGTTCTGGGACTACGTGAGAAAATTTGATGTGATGGGGCTAGTAGAGACAGGGGTACAAATAGAAAACTCGAAGAAATTTGAAGCGACACTACCACAAGAATATGTGTGGGAGTGTCAAGGGGCGATAAAGGAAAAAAAAAAAGGGGGAGAGCAAGCGGGGGAGCACGAAAAACAAGAGAGAAGAAATAACGAGAGAAGATATTATGGGATGAAGAGGGAATTGAAAGATACAGAACCAGACTAGAAAAAAAGAAATTCGAAGTAAAAGAGGATATAGAAGTTATGATAGCAGAACTGATTACCTCAACTGTCGAACCTACGGAAAAAAGAAAGATATACATATGGCAGGGGAGGAATAATGGATGAAAAGGAGAATGTAGAGAAAAGCAAGGAAAAAATTAAGAAAGTGGGAGAATAATAGGGGAAGAAAAGAAGAGTACTTAAAAGCAAAAAAGAATTATAGGAGAAAATCTGAAGAAAGAAAATGAAAAAAACAAGAAGAAGAAGAGAAGACAATAAAGTCCCTGAAAACAGGACAAAAATTATGGGGATATATAAATAAGGAACGAAGAAGGAAGATTGAAATCAATTGGAAAATCAAAATACACGAATGGAAAAGACAATTTATGGAATTATTGGGAGATTGTGAGGAAAAATGCTGCAAAATAAATAAGGCAATCACAACGACAGAAGAAATGTGGATGTGTAGACTGAAAAGAGGAAAGGCACCAGGAGGGGATGGAATCCAGAACGAAGCGTGGATGTTCGGAACAGAAGGAGTGAAAGAAACGATTTAGGAAGTGGTAGATGGAGTTTGGAAGGGAAAAGGGTTTCCTCGGCAGTGGAGAGAAGGTACAATAATTCCATTATTTAAAAAGGGGCAAAAAAGTGATGTGAAGAACCACCGAGGGATTACCTTGCTCAATACCGCGAACAAGATATTCGCAATGATACTAGATTAGAGGTTATGAAAGGAGATGGAAGCAAGGGGTATAAGAAAGGAAGAGGTACTATGGACAATGTGTACATTCTGAGGCATTTAATGGGAAGAGAAATAAAAAAACAGGGTGGACAAATGTACGCATTGTTCATAGATTTCAAAGCAGCGTTTGATAGCATGAATAGAGAGAAAATGTGGGAGTATTTGAGGAGAAATGGAGCAGATACGTACCTGGTAACGAAAATGGAAGAAATATATCAAGAAGCAGTAAGTAAGGCAAGAGTGAATGGAATAGAGAGCGAGAATCTTTATATAAATAGAGGAGTGAGACAGGGACGCCCACTCAGTCCCGCATTGTTTGCAGCTTATCTATGAGATATAGATGAAATGTTCAGAAAAGCACAGACAGGAGGGGTGGTAGTGGACAAAGAGAAAGTGTGGTCTTTGGCGTACGCAGATGATTTGGTGATTGTGGCAAAGAAAAAAGAAGAAATGAGAACAATGATTAAAAGTTTCGAGAAGTACGTCGAAAAAAGGCATTGGAACTGATTGTGGAAAAAACAAAAATGGTAGTGTTTGGGAAGAAAGTACGAAAGGAGAAGGAAGAGTGAGCATGGAGAGAAGAATTCTAGTACTTACAGTAGAGAGTGCAAGAAAAACCCTCAAAATGGACATTGGGATTGGAAAAGTATGCGCCGGGGTATATAGTGAGAGAAGAAACAAAAAGGGAGAAAATGCGAGTGGAAGCGGGTAAAAGGGCGATTGGATTTGAAGAAAAGTTTAGTGAGAGAGGTGATTGTAAAATATTGCAAGAATGTTGGAAAGAAATAAGAAAGGAAGGGGAAAACATGTTTGAAACCAAATTATTCTTCGTATGTCTAGCTCTACGTTTTCCAACAGTTCAGGTAAAAAGGACCGTTTATATTTCCTTCAAGCATTAACTTTGAAAACTTCTTGGAAGTGCTTTTCCTGACACCAATGGGGATTTTGCTGGACACAGTAATGTGAGTTGTGTCTGTTTACACACCCGTTATTGGTAAAAAACATGACATCCATTTTGCAATTTAACTTTGAAACTGCAAAATCAAATACACTGAAACCATGCGAACGTTTTACGAAAGAAATAGTTACTCTAAATTAATTCGTTTATAGCCTCCCCAAAAAATAATTAAGTCATCTTACAGTTATGCCGTTCTTGCATAATGTTATTTCGTATGGAAAATTTTGCCCGCCAGATATCCACTGGTACAGTTCTTATCAAATTTTCCGCATTTAGTAGAAACATTAGGATAATTTCACCGTACACTAATCGTTAAAACTGATTTAACCGACTATTTATTTTTTGTTATTACCATTATTTTACTATAAAAATACAGTCAATTGCTTCAGCCTATCACACTTACATGAAAGTGACTCTATATATATATAAGTATATTCAAATATTATTCACACTTTAATCAAGCAACATAACATTACTTGAGGATAAATAACTGAGTTAACCAATATATTTTCCAAAACGATAGTAACTATTGAAAGTATTATTAACTGTAAAGCTTAAATGGACTACTACAAAACAAGCAAAAAATCAATTAATCCCGAGAAAAACAGACACTGGTTTTGGAATTTATTTTTTTTGTAAGTTAACAATCAACTCCCAAAAAACCTTGAACTGTGTGAGCAATTACGAATTTTAGATATACAAAGAATACATTCATCAAGGGTTACAAAACAGACCTGACTCAAAATGATATATATGAAGTGCTTCCCGAACATAAGTCAAAAACAATAGGAGATAAATTAGAACAGGAGTGGAAGGCACAAATGGATGAAAACAAAACATCTATACCTAAACTTCTTTGGAAATGTTTTGGCAGACAATATCTTTTAATAATATTCAGTTTGGTCATCCCAGTGGCAATAACGTATTTACGATAACGCAATAATAATTTCACTTCGCTTTTAATCATTTGTTTAGGTTCTTGCAACCAAAGATACTAAAAAAATTCATATCATATTTTACACCAGGACACAAGAATCTAAGCAGAACTGATGCGAGCTTGTATGGACTATTGTTGATCGTAGTTACGGTTATAAGACGTCTGCACCTACACAACTTTTATCTAAGGCTTTCAGAATTTGGAATTAAAATGCGTGCTGGATTCACATCTTTAATCTACAGACAACTTTTAAAAATGAACCCGTCAGTAGTTCAAAGTGGCAAGATGATAAACCTGATAACTAGAGATGTGAGTGAATTTGAAGAAGCTGTATCTAAAATAACAAACATGATAAAAGATCTAACCAAGATTGTGGCAGTATGTTGGGTCTTATATTCAGAAATTGGATGGTTATTTCTTATAATCCCCTCGATAATTTTTATTAGCATGTTCGCCAACAGTGAGCAGGCAAAAACTAAGATAATAATCATTTAGACTTTAATTTTTTTCAGCATGCATAGCAGCTTTAGTGCGTAAACTTAAATTGAAATCTTTGAGGAAAACTGATGCAAGATATCAAATAATAAGAGAAGCACTAAGTGCAATAAAAGTCATCAAAATGAACCTTTGGGAAGACAGTTATGAAAAGAAAATTGCTAAAATCAGAAAGTAAGGTGGTAAACAAACGACTGGTGGTATGATTTTTTTTTGTTATTTACAGTGAAGAAATCCATCTTATACGCAACATAAATATATTGTTATTTCTAAAATTAGTACTTTCTGAAACATTTCACAACGCATCGTGGTACATAGTTGTAGCAATATCCATATGGTTCAATATTCAATCAACTGCTGGCACATTATTTCTTATAATAAACAGTCTAACTATTGTTTCTTATGGTATGAAAGGTAATTTTCCAACAGCGATACATGAAGTAGCTACGTTAATTGCTGTATTTAAACGAATTGGACAAACACTGCGAATTAAGAGTGATGAATCATACGTGGAAGAAAATAAACTTTCACCAAGAATTAAGCTAAATTTAAAAATTCTCACTGCACATAATCACACACTAATAAATTTGAAAAAGTGTAACATTGTAGGAGGAATAACAGCAGTAACAGGACCTATTGGCAGTGGCAAAAGTCTCTTGTTAAAAGTCCTCACGAAAGCATACAAAAATGTAGAAGGTGATTTAGAAGTCGTCGGCAGCATTTCTTACGCATCACAAGAACCCTGGCTTTTTCCATCGACCATCAAACAGAACATTTTATTCGGAAGTAGTTACGACGAAAATCGTTACTTAGAAGTTTTACGAGTTTGTGCTCTACTTGAAGATCTACGTTCTTTAAGCGATGGTGATTCTGCTCTTGTAACTGACGGAGGAGCTAATCTAAGTAAAGGACAACAAGCTAGAATAAATTTAGCTCGAGCTGTTTATAAAGAACGTGACATATATTTATTAGATGATTGTCTGGCTAGTTTGGATGCGATTGTTGCAAATTTTGTATTTGAACAGTGCGTTAAAAAATTTTTGAAAGACAAAATAGTGATCTTGGTTACTCCATCCATAAAGTACGCCAATATGGCAAACAACGTCATAGCAATAAAAAATGGTAAAATTGAAAATTCGTGCCCCTTCCAGTGTAACACCCCAAAAAGTTCGGAAACTAAAAATATGGAATATAATGAAAAGGGTAAAGCAAAGAGCGAAAAAGAAGGGTCAGCTGTGGAAGAAAATTTTGACGATGAAACCCCACTGATTAAAAACAACAAAGAGATCAGGGAACTCTACACAGAAAGAAAAGTACAAGGAAAAGTACAAATCGATGCTTATAAAAAATATATTAAAGAAAATGGAGGTTTGATCAAAATTTTTTTAGTTTTACTTCTAACTGGAACAATTCAATTTTTGAAAAGTTCCATCAATAAAATGGAATCCGTTTGGTAAGACTGCAATTTGATAATTTAATCTCATTGATTTGAACTTGTAGGATAAATGCAGAACAGGTATTGTTTAACAATGTCACAGACAAGGCAATCTACATAGAGGCAAATGAAAAACGTCACCAAATGCTAATTTTTCTACCTATAGTTATTGCAGTTACGACCATATTAATGTCATTAAATACATGTTTTTTCTGGGTGCTTGCTGCTAAAGCTTCACTAAAACTTCACAATTTACTTTTCTCCAGGGTGGTTCACAGTTTCATGCAGTTCTTTGACAAAAATCGAATAGGAATTATTTTGAACAGATTTTCAGAAGACATACTGTACATTGATGAAATAGTACCCTTAACGTTTTTTCTACTAATGGGTGTAAATAAGTTAATTTTATAAAGTGACTTATAATATTCCTGAATTTTAGTATTTTGCTGGAGCAGTTGGAATTATTATTCTCATTGCCACAGTTAATGCATCGTTCCTAATTCCATGTATTCTGATTAATGTATTCATGATTTTCATACAAATATTCTACTTAAAAATTGGAAATGCTTTAAAACGACTGGAATTTTTAAGTAAGCATAGCAACAAAAATTTTTAAAATGATAACTTCTAAAATCTTAGCACGAAGTCCTTTAATTGGCTACATCAATGCTACTTTAGACGGATTGACAACCATAAGGACCTCGAAAATTCAAGATACCTTGCGAAAAGAATTCGATCAACATCAAGATTTGCATACTTCCTGTTCTTACATGTACACATGCTGTGAGAAAGCATATCACGTTATGCTAGCAGCCGACCAAATTATTCTTCTTACTTTCGCAATTATCCTTTTTTTAGCAGTAGATGAGAGTAAATTGAAATCTTGAAACCCAAATGATACTAATTAACAATATTTTTTTAGAAATGACAGCAGGAAACGTTGGACTTGTTTTGTCGCAAATATTTAGTCTGACAACTTCAGAGCATTTCTTTTATCGTATGATCACTAGATTTGAGAATCAAATGATAACAGTAGAAAGAGTATTGGAGTACACTAAACAAAAGCAGGAAAGCAAAAATGGTTTAGTAATGGAACATTGGCCAAAGGAATGTGAAATACGATTCAAAGACGTGTACCTTTCTTACAACAGCGACCAAGACCATGTACTAAAACGTTTAAACTTCACCATCAGAAATAAAGAAAAGGTAGCCATCGTTGGCAGAACTGGTTCAGGGAAAACATCTTTAATTTCCACACTCGTCCGGCTTTATGATTTCGAAGGAAACATTTTTATTGACAACGTAGATATCAAAACACTTCCAGTGGATTTCCTTAGGTCAAAAATATCTGTAATTCCACAAGAACCTACTATATTTTCGGGAACGTTACGCGCAAATATTGATCCTACAGGAGAACATTCAGACGATGATATTTGGAAAGCTATTTCAACCGTAAATTTGTCACTCTTTGAAAATTTGGATGAGAAAGTTGAGATGAATTTAAGCATTTGTGAAAAGCAACTCATTTCTATGTGTCGAGCTCTCGTTCGGCGTAACAAAATCGTAATTTTTGACGAAATTAATGCCAGTGTCGATTCCGATACTGAAGCTTTGATGCAAAAAGTAATATCAGAAACTTTTGCTGAATATACAGTCATCGCAATTATGCACAAATTGCGTTACATTTTAGAATTTGACCTAGTATTAGTTGTAGATAAAGGTGTGATTATTGAGTCTGGTGATCCGTCTAGCTTACTGAAGAAAAAAAACAGCGTGCTTAGCAACTTGTTTAAGAGACAATGATATAATAAAATATATATAAAATATAAAACCAAAAATTGTGGAGCACTCAATGGTCTCATCATATGAATTTATTAATGTAAATTTGGTGAAGGATTAATACCACAATTGTATTCAGACGTTTTAAATAAATAATGTTTTTTATGTCTACTTTATGTCGTAATTACTACATAGTGCTTAACATAATAATATAAGTAAACTTTCTGATAGATACATTTTAAACGTCAATTACCTAAGATTTATGAGGATGCCTATCCTTTGTGTCAGTTGTAATTTATGACATACTGTGATTTTTGCGTAGTTGCATTTACTAACTACGATTGTTAATTCAAAAAGATTAATAGATTGATCAAAGTTGCTTATAATGTTTATAATGTGTCGTCTACACGAAAGTATTCAAGCGTTGTACAGATAAAATGATCACCCTGTATTCTTTCTAATAATCTTAAAAAAAAAAAAATTGAACTATTAGGCGTTTATCAAGTCCAGTTATACGAGGGTCGACAGCGAAAGTTAGCTCTTGCTTGTTAAAAACTAGGAAAACTTGTGAAAGAGAACATCTTCTGTAGAATTGTGAATAAGTTTACTTAAAAGGCGAAAACAAAATTAAAGAAGTTGTCATAAATGGGATCCATCCCCCGTATACATAAATTGACAAGTCTTTTCATGTTACCAAACACATTTATAGTGTAGCAGGAGTAATGCGAGCACACTCTTCGATAATTCTGTCTTTCAGTTCTTTGATGGTATGAATGGGAGTTTTAAAAATATGGTATTTAAAATATGAGAGTTTCAGTAAAGAGATGCCACTACCACGATGGAGTAAACGATTCGTTTTGTTTTATTAATTGTAAATAATAAAGAAAAAGGTTACTTTTAAAAAAATGCTATTTCAGTTTCTCTTGAAACCTACTTACTGGGTGATAATGGTTGGTTTACAACAACCTCAGTTTATGGCTAACGCCCCAACATGAAATGTCAAAATTACTACTACAATAAGTAAACTACTGAGAACGAAAAAAACGTAAAATAAAAAAGATGTATATGTATCTGTGGCATATATTTTTTATCTAGATACAGATATTTTGTGCCTAAAGTTGATTGTATCTATATACAGATAACAGATAACCAAATATCTACACCTGCCCAAAACTGTTAAATCCATATCACATTGTCTTGATATTTTTAAATTTCTAGGGTGAATCAAGGATCAAAGAAAATAATGTGTTTCGGGTTGCCGCTAACCAAAAATGGCATTGGTCATTTAGGCCGAATCACCTGTATGTATCAAGCTGACAGAAATTAAATTTCAAAGTTCTTATAGTCGAAGACAGTAAAAGTCGATATTGGGCGGAACTTGATAATATATATACATTGATAGTGTTATCAGTAGTAAATGGATACCAGTGGAAAATAGACCTAAAAGAAGCTTGTTAACTCCAATGCCAGTGTTAATTAAGACAACTAGTTACTTAAATGAAGTCTATAAGCAATGTAAGCATTGAGCGTCATTATCATGTGTATGTATACAACTGCTACCCGAGTTCATGAGTCACCTAGTCTTTTTTGCAATTTTTTTATTTTATTAGACTTCACTTCTAAACCAAAAGGTTAAAGCATTTTAGCATCAGTTTTGCAAACCAAAACAACTAATGGATTCACCAAAAACAAAGAAGATTACAATTAATAAAACACCGAAAAATGTTCACCCCAAGGAGAAGGCAAATTTCTTGTCTCACTTTTTATTCTGGTATACATTGTCCACCGATTTAGCTATATTGTAATAACTTCAAATTTTAGTTGGCAGTTAAAAACAATTTTAGATTGTTGGAGAAATGAAGTAACTGACGACAGCTTCATCACACCGATAAGAGATCATGAGACGCAACTATTGGGAGATCGACTGGAAGCACTATGGAATAAAGAAAATATTTCAAGAAAAAAACCGTCTTTTACCAGAACATTGGCACAATTTTTAGGTATCAAATATGTGCTTTTTGGATTGCTTTATTCTATAGCCGATACATTATCAGTGTAAGCATAAAATATACATATAGATCTTTTGCAAATACCTAGTGACGTAAAACATGACTCAAAACTAAAAATACAATTTCAGAAAAACTATCACAAAAACTAAAATTTAACGAATGTAGTACAGATGAGAATCAAATAATAAGAATTTTCCAACACCAGTTTGATATGGTACTTTGTGGGAAACTTAAAACGGAAGCGAACCGCAAAGTTTATCTAAAAATCATTTCGAAAAATAGGCTCTTATTTTGGTTATAAACAATTTGTGAACGGTGCGGGTTCTAGCAAATTAACACCACAACAATTAGATGCTGTCTGCATTATAAAAAAAAAACTGTTGTGATGATGATATTGTTACAAGCTCTTTCAATTTCTTGCCGTAGTTTCTCAACATAATTATTTAAGGAATAAACCTCTAAATCAACTAAATTCTTCAGCCCTCTCCGATTACAACCTGTAGGGAAAAGGCTAGTAACTATTGTGAAATGTGGTTGTCCATTACTCCGTTAGAATCTGCTCTCCATTAGGCTATAAATCAGGTTCCAAAATAAGATCAATATATATTTAAGCTGTCAAATTGACACAAACGAGTACAAGCATGATCAGTTACAACTAGTAAATTGTTGTGTAGACTACCACATTTTCCAAAACCCGAATCATATTTAAAACTGTTACAATAACCCTCAGTACAGACGTCACTAGCTGTAAATAAATGCATGTTGGTAAACGATTGTAAAAAACAATGTGTTCACTGAAAATACGGAGTATTGCAGGTTCCTTCAATCACTATGCATGAGTAAATTATTGGAATATTTCTCAGAAAACAAAAAACTTACAGCCAAAGAAGCATATATTTATGGAATGGCCGTTGTTTTATCTAGTTTCCTTCGAGTGATAAGTTTCCAGTTCCATTATTTGGAAACTTTCAGTACTGGTTTGAAAGTTCGTTCATCTTGCTCCTCTTTAATTTATAGAAAAATTATAACTTCGAAATTCGCTACTATTCAAAAAAATACCTTAGCACACACATTAAACTTGTTCTCTATCGACGTTGACAAATTTGAGACGGTTTTCTGTTATCTTCACCGCCTGTGGAGCGCTATTTTGAAAATGGTGGTAGCAACATTGTTGTTTCTTTCATTGTCTAGTTATGAAGGAGTCGTTGGAGTGGGAATAATAGTAATTTTTTCCCTTTCTCAATGTCAGTATAATTTTTTATCATTCTTCCGAACGTAACCTAGCTATATTTCAGATTTTTTTTTCACGAAAGCTGTTGCTGAAAGACAAAAAATGACCAGAGAAAGAGACAGTCGGTTACGAATAATGAACGATATTATTTTTAGAATGAGAGAAATCAAAATGTATGCTTTGGAGACGCCTTTCGCTAAACTCGTAAATAAACTTAGGAGGTTTTAATTTTTAAAATCAAGTCACTATTATCAACTGGATAAATTTTAGGTGTGAACTTATCCATATGAGAAAACTGAATCACATATGGAACGAAAACACTACAATTGCGACGTACCTTGACAAAATATCTATTTACGTGCTTATTTTACTTTTAACAACGACTGGTGCTCCTTTAAACCCACAATTGATTTTTATGTCTATAAACATATACAATTTACTTAAAACATCGGTGCAACATTCAAATATTGCTGTTAATTTAATGTCAGATTTGAAAGTGTGTATAACCCGTATTGAAACATTTTTGCTTTCGGATCATGAATCAACAGCTGACACACAAAAAATAGAAGGTATACCATCTTGTAAAATATATGCTCATAATTTAACAGCTAAATGGAACCCATCACAAGAGGCGGCGATAAAAAACGTTGATTTTATACTTGGTTGTGGTCAGTTAGTTGCACTTACCGGAGACACAGGGAGTGGAAAGTCTTCTTTACTTCAAGCTATATTGCAAGAATTGCTTATAGTCGATGGAAATCTATCCCGGGATGGTTTGATATCTTATGCATCACAAAATCCATGGGTGTTCTCGGCAACCATCCAAGAAAACATTATATTTAATGAAACCTTTAACCAGAACAAGTATTTGAATGTTCTTAAAATTTGCGCTTTAGAATATGACATATCTCTTTTTTCCCATGGAGACAAAACATTGGTGGGAGAAAGAGGAAATATGTTGAGTGGAGGCCAAAAAGCCAGAATTAACTTGGCACGAGCTATATACAAAGATGCAGACATCTACCTTTTGGATAACCCTCTAGCGGCGATGGATGTATCAGTCGCTCAACAAATTTTTACTCAATGTATTTTGAAATATCTAAAAACCAAAAGTGTTGTACTAATAACACACAATTTAAAATTTCTCAATTATTCCGACAAAGTATATGTTCTAGAAGATGGGAGGGTAATGTTTTCCGGAAAATATGAAACATTAGAAGATTTACCAAATAACGTACAAGAAAAGAATAATGAAACACTGACAAAACTTTCAGCGAAAAGTTATAAAGCCCAAAATGAAACTAAAGAACACAAAGGTAGCGATAAAGTAAACACATATACAACATATTTATTTGCAAATGAAAGCAAGTTCTTCGTCTTTCTTCAGCTCCTCCTTTTCATTTTAACTCAAGTTTTTATAAACGGTTCAGACACGTTCTTGTCTTTCTGGATCAACCTGAGGCAAAATCCTTCTAATTTTAACACAACACTACTACAATACTTTTCCGACGTTAAATGTTTGTACATTTACAGTGGATTTATTCTAATAATGGTATTTTTGTTTCACATGGGTTCTTTAAACTTTGTAGATTGCTGTAATAAGTGCTCCGCTAAGTTACACGATACGTTGTTTAACAAACTTCTACATGGGACTATGAGGTTTTTCGACAACCATGCATCTGGTCGAATTATTAATAGAATTTCCAATGATATAAGTACAATCGATGAGATCATCCCCCAATACATGTATCAAGGTGCAAGACAAGTTTGTTCTGTGTTAGGTGTTTATATTGTTGTCAATGCAGTAAATTATTACATGATTGTACCAACATTGGTTTTGTTGATAATTTTTTATTACTATGTGCAAGCTTTCCGACCAGTACTTAACAAACTGAAGAGAATCGCCGCCACACGTAAACTTATAGCAAAGATCAGGACTACATCTTCCACCGATTTCATTTTTTTAGGTAAGAGCCCTATTTATACTCACGTGGTAGCTACCATTGACGGATTGACAACCATCAGAGTTTCAGAAGCCCAAAAACACTCCTTGTCAAAATTTGAACGCTATCAAGATTCTTATAACTCGATTAGGTATCTACATCAAGCTCTCCACAGTTCTTATGCTTTTTGGACAGATTTCACTTGCATGTTATATGTAGCCGTTGTTATATTCTTTCTAATAATCTTCAAGAAAAGCAAGTAATTAGGGATCTACATCGACGGTACCCTTACGCTCGTTTTTTAGGTGATATGGTAGGAAACGTTGGTTTATCCATTACACAATCGCTCTTATTGATTTCGACAATACAGTACATGATCAAGATCTATAGTGATCTTGATTCACGGATGACTTCAGTTGAGAGAGTTGCGGAATATGGTGACCTAACAGTTGAAGACATTAATAAAAATGAAATTAATCCTCCTACCACATGGCCTGCAAACGGCAAAATACTATTTCAATCAGTCTCCATGCGATATTCTCCAGAAAAACCGTTTATCCTCAGAAACATCGATGTGGAATTTCAAGCTGGTGAAAAAATAGGAATCGTTGGAAGAACTGGCGCTGGAAAATCATCTTTGATAAATGCACTCTTTCACCTGTACGAATACGAAGGAACAATATTAATAGACAACGTCGATGTAAAAATGGTTCCTCTTAGCACTCTGAGATCTCGAATAGCAACTGTTTCTCAAGATCCTGTTCTTTTCTCAGGTACCATGCGCGAAAATTTAGATCCTTTCAAAGAATTCACGGACTGTCAGTTATGGAGTGTTCTAGAAGAAGTAAATCTAAAACAGATTGTTTCAAATTTACCCTCTGGTTTGAGCAGTTCTCTTTCGGAAACCGGTGTCAATTTTAGTACTGGACAGAAACAACTAATGTGTTTAGCTAGAGCTATTTTGAAAGAATGTACAATTATTGTTCTTGACGAAGCAACTGCCTTTCTTGACTTAGACACCGACAAATTAATTCAAGCTACAATTCAGAAGAGATTTCATAAGGCAACGATTTTAAGAATTGCACATAGATTGGACAATGTGATGAATTCGGACAAGATATTGGTTTTAGATGATGGTTGTGTTGTGGAATTTGGCGCCCCGAATGGACTTCTACAAAACATGAATGGTTATTTTTACAAATACGTTCATGAATATGAAAATTCTTCATTAAATATTCAAACCTATATTTGAAAATTATTTAAAAAATATTTAGAAACTTTTTTTTGCATTTTATGTTATACTTAAGTTGAATTGACGTGGAATTTTTGTAAATTAAAGTTTGTAATTATTATTTATCATATTATGGATAGAGGGCATTAACATGGGAATTGGTTTTTATTTCATTGTATCTCCCCAGATCACTTTAATGCTAGTACTGAGTGATGGCCGATAGACCAGTATTTTTTTCAAATCGTTGCATTGAAATTATATTTTGAAATTCGCGCCCAAGCCGGTTTGTCGCCAAATGTTCCGTCGCACTGTCGAAGTTCGGCGATCGCGACTTTGGATTAATCACGCAAAATCCAAATGTCAAAGCGAAATTAGAAATTATTCTCAAAAATCAACGAACAAAAAAAAATTCGTCATAGTGCGCGACCCCAAGAAAAAATTCCAACATTACAGGAAAATACTAGTTCAAATAAACAACATTTATGCAAGCTGTATGACTGGAGATTTGGTCCTGCATGTAAAAGATCTGCTGCAGATGCCACACCCTTCGAGTCCCAGGAAGTATTTGCTGAGCTAGCATATTGTCCTACTTCTGTGCATTCAATCCAGATTCGATGAAAAAAGATGCAATGACATGATCTCCTAGAAGTCCCAGTCACACACTGACAGTTGTACGCCTTTGATAACGATGGCCATGGACCACGTGAGGGTTGTGTATTGCTCAAAAACTCTCCATCAGCCTAGCGTTCCTTCGTAAAATTCCATACGTGAGAAGTAGTCCTCAGGCCTCAATTTTTTGTCATGATGCTTTTTGAAACTCTTCTATCCCATCTGTTTAAGATCCCTTGAAAACGTCGTGCCCACCTGATTTTATTTACGTTTTATCACCTTTGAAAATAAATGTACCTTTGTTTTATGAAATATTTTTATTTTTGTTGTTGTTAACACAATAAAGAAATAAAACAGTAATACAAAAGTTTCTAAATTCCAAAACACATTCGTAATAGAGAAAAATATTTCAAGTCAATTTTATACATTTCTCTCTCAAAAATTTCTTGTAACGAAGTTGCTTCCAGATGGCAAAAATCCCATTCCTGCTTAGCAACTGTAAAATCAATTGACTTTCAATCTTTAGTAAGTCAAAAAAAAAGTGTGAAATTTACCCAAATTGCCTACTAATTGAATTAACCGCAAGCCTCTCGCTTTTTCATCTAATCGCAGTAGAACATGGCATAACCTATTAAAATATTTTGTGCAGTGTGTGCATCTATTCCGTTTAAATTGACTTACAATAATCGTCATTTTGGTTAAAATAATTCAATTTGAGTCGTTCAGTGATTACTGAGTGGGGCATCACGAGTACATTCCTAGCTTGACGGGCTCCCAGGACATGTCACAATGCTGCCGATGGGGTTTTGAGGAAGACCAGCTGCTCGAAGTCTTCATCTCGAGCTTTTTGGATACGGCCTGAGTGTAGTTCGAGATGGCTGCTTTGACGGGGTCGCGCACTATGACGAATTTGTGCATTTATTCCGTTTAATTTGTCCTACAATAATCATCACACTGGATAAAATAATTCAGTTTGAGTTGTTCGTTGATTTCTGAGAATAATTTCTAATTTCACTTTGACATTTGGATTTTGTATGGTTAATCCAAAGACGCGATCGCCGAACTTCGACAGTGCGACGGAACATTTCGCGACAAATCGGCTCGGGCGCGAATTTCAGAATACGATTTTTAAAACCTTTTTACAGTAAATCAGCGCGATGCAACGATTTGAAAAAAATACTGGCCGATAGCCCTCTTCGACCTCCACAAAGGCATCACTCAATAATTGCTTCAAAGTGACCTGGGGAAATATTATAAAATAAAAACCAATTCCCATGTGATGTACTGAAAGCAATAAGTAAACTTAAAAATAGTAGTGTCGCTGGCATTGATCAAGTTCCTAGTTATCTTATTAAGGATTGTTCTGGTGTTTTAATTTACCCTTTAATCTACATCTTCAACTTAATTGTAAAAACCTCTTATTTTCCTGACTTATGGAAAACGTCCAAAATTATACCTGTTTTTAAACCTTAACAAATCTCACATGTATGTCGCAAATTATATCAGATACCTACGCTAGATACCAGAGGCCAGCTTAATGTGGTTTACTTTGATTTTTCAAAGGCATTTGATAAGGTGAGTAATAAAATCCTGCTTCAAAAATTATCGAATTTCGGTTTTACCAATGGACTAACTATCCTTTCGCATCTTATTTATGCAATCGTAATAACTTTGTCTTAATCAATGGCTACAGGTCTAATGAATATATTTCAACCTCTGGTGTGCCGCAAGGCTCCACATTAGGGCCATTGATACTTTTAATTTATATTAATGACATTGTTAACCAAATTAAGCATTCTGGAATACTAATTTATGCAGATGATGTAAAGCTATATCGCAAAATTGACAAAATTGAGGATTGTCTGCTACTTCAAAATGATATTAATAATTTACATAGGTGGTCTGAATGTAATGAGTTGATATTAAATAATGACAAGTGTAAATCGGTTTTACATACACTAAAGGTCAATGCATGAGTTTGTTTATTACATTAATAATGACATTATAGAAAAATGTAGTTCCATTAAGGATCTAGGTGTGTTGTACGATTCGCAATTTAATTTCAAGGAACATGTAAATATGTTAATTTCAAGTTCAAAAAAAATGTTGGGTTTATTGTACGCAATTGTAAGGATTTTACCAATGCCGCAACATTAAAAGTAATATTTTTTGCGTTGATTCGATCAAAGTAGGAATATTGCACCCTGGCATGGTTTCCGTACTACAACGTTCAAATTTTATCATTAGAGAACATACAAAGGCAATTTTTGAAGTATTTATACTACGAAGAAGAAAAATGTTGGGTGGTGAGGAACTATCCCCAAAAATTATTGTTAGAACAATTTAAAGTTTGTTCACTTGTTAATAGGCGTATTGTGAATGCCATTATATTTCTTTACAAGCTAGTTAACAATATGCTTGATTGCAAGGAGTTGGTAAGTGTTCTTAAATTTTATGTTCGTAGAATTAATAATAGGTATACCGTCACATTATACTGCAATACTCCAAGGACAAATATTGGCAGGAAGGCTCCCATATATATAATAAATTATTATTTAAGTTAAGTAGAACGGGAATGTGAAGTCGACCTATTTAACTGCAGCTTAAGTAAATTAAAATCAACAGTTTCAAATATACTTAATTAGGGTTGGCCTTTCTGGCAGTGCCAAGTTTCATAACATTTAGTTTAGGATTGGATTCGTAAGTGATTTATTGTTGTAATTAGATACTGGATCTGAAATGTCATTATTAATATATAGCTTAATTGGTGCATAATTAGAATTATTTAAGTTAACAATAATTAAGTATTATACAAATCAGTCATTTTAAAATGAATTAGTTATTTAATTTTTTTATTTTAATTTTGATTAGAGTAAGTTTGTTTGTGTATTGTCATTGTCTTATAATTGGAACCTTGTTTTGTTGGACAATAAACGATATTAATGTTAATTCCCTATATCCAGACTTGAATGCGGCACTCTATATGAATATGCATGCATACAAAAATACCAGTTAAAATTTCAAAATTAATATACCTAATAACAATAACTAAAAAGAAAAACTCTAGATAAAAGAGTAAAATAGCTAGAAAAACACATCCAGACTTGGATGCGGTACCCTATATACCGGCTGTCTGGAAAAAATAATAAAAAAATTCTTTATAATGTAGATTACCAAAAACACGTGGTTTTATAAAAGGAAAATTGGCAACACTGTACACACCTAATGCGTGAATATCTCCGGCTTACTTTCTGGTTTCTTAGTAACGATGGTGACTGAAATCCACCTTCGCTTTATATCAGGCTAACATTGTTGTCAAACGGAATTTTTTCAAATTATTACAAAAACAACACAGCCATACCTTTGTGCATTCCAACTGAAATGGTAATTAAACATGGTTATGGGCGAGAAAAATATTAACTAAAAGTTTTACTACTAGTGTTATATAGTTAAGTCACAGATTACGGATACCAGATAGTTCACTCAGCTGTCGGCACTTTGAAGTCGGTGTCCCGAGATTTCAAGCGGTATTCACGCTACTACGCACGCTCTACCAAAATTGGTTCGCAAGCTTTGAATTTAAAAGCGCGGCGGTCAGAGAAAAATTACAGCGATGATGCAAGGGATGAGGTTCCAAGTGAAGAAAAAACGAACAAAATACTTATTTGCCTTACACAAAATGATTTATGATTATTACAAACGCTTAATATTTCACAATTTCCTCTGAAAAGAATTGCGGACACATGCATCGGCATTAAAAAATTTTAGAGCGTAAAAAACACGTATTCTCGAATATAGTGCTAACAAGAAAGTGGTGTTAAAATTTTTGCATGGTGAATAAACGTAACCTCTTTAACTATACGGCTTAAAGGGTTACCGAAAGTTAGACGAATTGGAGGGAATAGTTAATGAAATTTGCTGCGCTTGCCTTTCTGAACTTTGTTGTTACAGTTTTCTAATCTACTCGTCTTTATAGTGATTTTCGATTTTTGGTGGTTATTTAAGACTGAAACGAGTTTAAAGGAAAAGAAGGGAAAATGTTTTATTCTCTTAGTCATTTACAAAATCAGGCATTATAGACAAGATATATTTACTAAATGATACTATAATACAGTTTAATGCAGGTAGGTATTTATTTAACTAATTTTCTGATTATTTTAAAACTTTTAAAAAATCCCTTCGTAACCAAAAAACGTAGAAATTAATCCTTGTAATGTTATTTATTCCCTGAATTATTACCTAAACTTTTATTCTTATATCTGCTTCATTGTAATTTTATTTTGCGTGTTAATCTGTCGAACCAGTTTCAAAGAGATTTAAAAGTGCTGAGCCAATTTTAGTGTCATGCGCACGGAAAATTTGCGGACAGTTACGCCCACAAGTGAACCATCTGGTATCCGTAATCTGTGGTTAAGTTTAAGTTAGGCAACCCAATGTACAAAAGTGTAAATAAGTTAGAAGATGAATAAACGGGCAGTCGAAGCTGAGCCATCTTGTGTGCAACACCTGCACCACCCTGCTCCTACCAGACAAGACATAACATGGCGCAGTCGAATACAAAAAGTGAATAAATGAAGTGAAAGTCAAATAAGTGATTAATAAGTAAAAGCAATAATGGAGACAAAACCCATCCCAGCGATGGAAATGAACGGGAATTTAGCAGCCAATTGGAAAGCGTGGAAGCAGCGATATGAAATATACACTATCGCATCGGAGTCAGATAAAAAATCAGAAAAAATCCAGTGTGCACAACTTCTACACTTGCTAGGGGACGAAGCTATCGATATTTACAACACATTTGATTTTGCCGAATCAGAAAAGGACAAAATTGAAACTCTGAAAAAAAATTTGATAGTCACTTCATCCCGAAGAAGAGCTTAGTATACGAGAGATATAAGTTTTTCACAATAAGACAGAAGGAGGAGTCAATAGAAGAGTTCATTACATTGCTCAAAAATAAAGCCAAACAATGTGAGCTTGGAACACTCCAAGAAGAATTAACAACGTTAATGTTAATAGTAGGAATTAAAGATGACCCGACAAGAGAGAAGCTACTCCACAAAAGTGGATTGAAATTAGAAACGGCGATAGAAATGTGTATAGTGACTGAAAATTCAAGGAAACAGCTGCAGGAAATGCAAACAGGAA